AAAGTAATGCATTTTTGAAGAAAATTTTCAGAATGGTTTAAAAAAAAAAATGCCCAAACTGCAAAACTCTAAAACCCTCGAAATCTAAGAAGATGTAAAGGAAAATTCTAAGAGAAAAGAATGTTTTATTCCCATCAAAGGTCAAAGGTACTATAAACACAGGACTCATTCTACCAGGCTTGTTTTTCAGAAATTCTGAAGCACTGAACAGATTCTGTATGAAGGAAAAAAGAGTGAGAAGCAAAGATGCCCATTCCTCTCATGCACTTACAGCTTGGTAGGAGTCACCTGGGTCTTCCAGGGACCCTCAACCCTTCAACCTGGCTTAAGGAAATCCAGGCACACCTAGCAGAAACAAACTTTAATCTTCTCTAGAAGGCAGCTCCTTCATCCCCACCCTCAGATTACTTTATTAAGACAATCCATACACATGGGCTCCACTTCTATGGAGTCAACTAACCACAGACAGAAAACAGTCAGAAAAAAAGCATCTGTAAAAACAAACAAACAAAAAAAAAGCATCTGTACTGAAAATGTACACTTTTTGTCATTATTCACTAACCCACACAGTACAACTACTATTTATGTAGCATTTATGTTGCATTAATTACTAAGTAATCTAGAGACAATTTAGAGTATACAGAGGGGTTAGTGATATAGTTTGGTGGTAGAGTACTTGCTTAGAAAACAGGAGGTCCTGGGTTCAAATCTCAGCACCATAAATGAATAAAGAAATAAAGTATTCAGGAAGATGTGTAAGTTATACGCAAATGCTATTCCATTCAATTAAGGAAGTTGGATTGAAGATGTAGCTCAGTTGGTAAAGTGCAAAATTAGACTTCACAAATAAACAGAAACAGAAACAGGTTCTGAAAGGTCTCAGATTTAAATTAGACTACAGAACGGGCCGGGGATTTAGCTCAGTGGTTCAGCCGCCTGCCTTGCAAGCACAAGGTCCCGAGTTCAATCCCCAGTATCAAAAAATTAATTAATTAATTAGACTACAGAACAACAATGCTTACTAAAAGAAATTATCAACCTAAATAACAGCAAGAGATTCTCCAATGATTAATAAAATTTTTAGGAATAGCAGGCCATTCCAAAGGAAGTATGTGGGATATGGTAAACTATGAGATATTCAAAGAGCTTGAAACAAAGGAATGAGTGTTTAAGGCAAAATGAGGACTACATACGTTTTTTTTTTTCCTCTCTCTCTCTTTAGGTTTTTTGAGACAGAGTCTCGCTCTGCAATTCAGGCTGGCCTCAAACTCACTGGGGTCCTCCTGGCTCAGCCTCCCAAGTGCTGTGACTACCTGGCAAGTTATTCTGAATCAACTGTCCTTGGCTCTAAAGATCAACAACAAGGATAGCAGCTGGGTGCCTTTGCACACACCTATATTCCCAGCTACTCAGGAGGCTGAGGAAAGAGAATTAGAAGTTCAAGGCCAGTCTGGGCAACTAAGTGAGATCCTGTCTCAAAACAAAACAAAACAAATACAAGGGCATGAGTATAATCCAGTAATAAAAGCTTGAAGTCCTGTGTTCGATCCCTAGTACTGCTCAAAAATTTTTAAATAATAAAAGTTCTGTCAACCCAAGGCTAGGCAGCAGTTGCTGGACAGATGTCCCTGCAGAAGTTTTTCTGTGTGAAATGGCGGTGGCCTTTGTGCAAGGCTGTGGCTCTGGTAGCTTTCTGCGGTCGTTCTTATTATCAAAGACACGTGCATGAGACTCTCTCCTTCATCACCTGGGCTTTATTTTGTTGTTGTTAGGGTTGACAAATGACTACTTTGAATCTGACTATTTTTACAAAGTAAAAGACAAGTTTGAAAAATAAATGCAGAGAAAACTATTTAAAAACTAAATAGATTTTTAAAATAACTAAACAATCTGGAAATTAAAAATGCAAATGTAAAGATTTAAAATCAAGGGGTGTTTAATAGCAGATTGGCTACAGATAAAGACAATCAGTGACCGAGCCAGGGATTTAGCTCAGTAGCATTGTGCCTGCTTCACAAGCTCAAGGTCCTGAGTTCAATCCCTGGTATTGAAAAAAAAAAAAAAAAAAAAGACAGTGACCTGGTAGATATGCCAGAAATGAAAGTGTTCATTCATAAAGTACAGAGACAAAAAGACAACACAGCACAAAATAAATACATGAGAAGGTCTAAACACATTTAACCAGAGTACCAGAAGAGGAAAAAGGGCACAGAGCAAACAATCTTTTGATAGAAGAGGTGGAATCTGCGAGAACTGATGCAAAAGACCAAACCAGTTTCAAGAAATCCAGTGCTGCATACCTGTAACCCCAGCACTCTAGGAAGCTGAGGCAGGAGGACAGCAAGTTGAAGTCCTGCCTTGATAACTCAGCCAGACCATGACTAAAGAGACAAGGAGGAGCAGGCTGGGGATGTAGCTTAGTGTAAAGGCCCTGAGTCCAACCTCCAGCACTGCCCCAAAAAAGAGAAGAGAGAAGGGGCAAGAAGAAGAGGAAGAGGAAGAGAAAAGTTCAGTGAACTATAATTTAGCCATTAAAAAGATTTTTGTGGCAACATGGGTGAGCCTGGAGGCTATTATGTAAATGAAATAAGCCAAGCACTAATGAAAAATAAAGGAAGCATGATCTAATTTGTGGACTCAAGCCAGGCATGGCGGCACATGCCTGCAGATCCAGCATTCAGGAGGCTGACGCAGGAGGATTGCTTTGAATTCGAGGCCAGCCTGGGAGACATGGTGAATTCAAGGCCAGCCTGAACTACATAGCAAGAGCTTGTCTCAAAAAAGAGTCAACCTCATAGAAGAATGCTGGTTACCAGAGGCCTGTGGGGGAGGCAGTGAGCTGGGGAGAAGTCAGACAATAAGTACAAAATTACAGATACTAGGAAAACATTTCTTTTCTTTTTGGTACCAGGGATCAAACTCGGGTCCTTGCGCTTGCAGCACAGCAGGCGACGAAACCACTGAGCTAAATCCCCCGCTAGGAATACATTCTAATGTTCTACTACACAGTATAGCAAATATGGTTAGCAATAACGCATTATTATTATTAATATATTGTATGCTATTAAAAACAGCTAGAAAAATTGGCTGTTTTGACCACAAAGAAATTATAAATGTTTGAAAATACTCAAATATGATTACACATTATAAACATGTAATGAAACATCACATACTATATCCCATAAACATGTGTAATTATGTGTTAATTAAAAATTAAAATACAAATAACCCAGGCATGATGGGGCATGCTTATAACCCTAGCACTCTAGGAGGCTGAGGCAGGAGGAGGAGGATCATAAATTTGAGCCTAGCCTGGCTAACTTAGCAAGACTCTGTCTCAATGGTTTTAAAAAAAAAAAAAAAATGGGGAGGGGGCTGTTTTGGGAAAGGGTCTCGCTATTTAGCCCAGGCTGGCCTCAATCTCACAGTGATCTTCCACTCAGGGTGATGCCACCATGCCTAGCGATAAAAAAGAAAAAAAATTTTAAAGAGCTAGGAAGGTAGTCCATTGTGAAGGCCCTATTTTCAACCCCCAGTACCACAAAGAGGCAGGCAGGCAGAGGAAAGCAATAGGGAGTGGTAATGGTGGGAAGAAAGCAACAGAATCACCGCAGAGGGGCTCTGACAATTTGAATTAATGAAAGTCAGTATTTATGTAATCCTCTGTATTGTTTTATTCCATAAGGAATGTAAGGCAGCCTACCAATATTCATGGAATGAAATCCAATTAAAAAAATTAAAAATTAGAAGAGTAAAGCAGTAAGAAATAGGAAAGGAAGGCCGGGGATTTAGCTCAGTGGCATCGCACTTGCCTCACAAGTTCAAGGTCCTGTGTTTGATTCCCCAGTACCGCCAAAAAAAAAAGACATAGGAAAGGAAAGTAAGATGGAAACAGTAGGGCTGGGGATTTAGCTCAGTGGTTCTGCCACCTGCTTTGCAAGCGCAAGGTCCCAAGCTCGATCCCTGGTATCAAAAAGAAAAAGATGGAAATAGTACAAAGATTCATTCCCAAAAGGCATGCTGTATATCCCTTCCTTGCTCGAGAACTATAAATTTTGCTTTAAACATTTTAGCATCCACACAAAGGGGGAAATACTCAAACAAGACTTTAAGTAAAAAATAGTTGTTCAGGAAAAATTGTTCCTAAAAGAGATGACAGATTAGTAGTGATAATAAACATCTGCAACATATATTACAATGTACGATGACATATTTTAGAGGACCAAAGTATGATTCAGCAAAAATAACTATGGGAAAATCCAAGAAACACCAATTATAGTGCATTCCAGGCGTGTGGCTCAATCCAGACTAGGTTTTAGAGGAACAGGTGACCTGCATATATTTTGGAAAATCTTCAATACATAAGTGCCTGCCTCAGTCAACTTCTGAAAGCAGTGATGTCACAGGTCTTTTCCTGCCAAGTGCCTGGGTACAGCTACACTGTGTGAATAAACAGGTATAAAACCACCTACCAAAGTAGCAGGTAAGGGCCAGGGATTTAGCTCAGTGGTTCTGGCGCCTGCCTCGCAGGCGCAAGGTCCCGAGTTCGATTCCCGGTACCAAAAAAAAGAGAAAGAAAAATGACATAATTTGTTTACAAAGTAAATGATATCTATTCTCCATTTTATATTTAAGAACACACAGGTACATACTTAAGATCCCCTGAGCACTGGGGATTTATTTGGCATGTTAGAAATTTTCCATAAAAATTTTTTAGTTAAAAAAATAGTTCCCTAAGTTAAGACTTAGCAGGAACAAAGACAAAGCTTTGCATGTCTGAGTGGCTAAAGGTACCTTCCTATGCAAGGAGAGACCAGAAGGGAATGGAAGTTTCTTCCTCAAAAGAAAGGCATGAATAGGGATGCCCAAAAGGCTTCCCAACTTCTAGAAACAAGAGGAGAGAGCACAGATGCAGTCCTCAGATACACACGGAAAAGTAAACTTAGGGATTGTGGTAGCTTCAACATAAACTGACAAGGAAAGGAAAAGCATACACTTACTCTTTTCAATGAGCTGGTCCTGAACTCCTGCCAATGCACTTACTGCCTAAAAGAAAAGCCACTGGTTACTAGAAAAGTGACCACAGGCCTCAGGAGACCACTCCCAGATAGGAAGGAAGAGAAAGGAAAACACATTCTCAACAATAGGCCACAGAAAGATCCCCACACACCACACCACTTACAGCTGCCGATGTAACTGAAGATTTACTGAAGAGCCGCTCAGCTTCCTTAAACTTCCGGTTCCTTCGGTCATTTTTGCTATTGGAATTTCTAAAACATAGAGAAAAAATTCATTCTAAGCATCAAGTTGTACATATGGTTTAAGCTTGTGATGCCTTGCACAGGGGCAAGGAACTCAACTCTTTAGAAATGCCCCAATCCACTTGGACTGCCCCCTACGACCACTACGCTGAATGCTCCCAATGTATGGTATGTGTGTGATGAGATTATTTTAGGTGATTCACAAACATTATTTATTTTCTTTTTAAAGGATTCAGGGGACCAGGAAACATGACAGGTCACCAGAATATAAAGCAATACTCCCCAGTCCAAACCCCTCCTCATTCTATTCTAATATGCATTTATTTTAATGCTTATTATTAAAAATGACTAGCATAGCTGGGTATGGTGGCACACGCCTATAATCCCAGGACTCTGGAGGCTGAGGCAGGAGGATTGCCGTGAGTTGGAAACTAGTCTGAACTACATAAGGAGACCCTGTCACAAAAAAACCATACCACGAGCCAGGGATTTAGCTCAGTATCGCTGCGCCGGCCTTGCAAATGCAAGGTCCTGAGCTCGATCCCCAGTACCAAAAAAAAAAAAGAAAGAAAAATGATTAGCACAGGACTGTGAATGTTGCTCAGTTTGTAGAATGCTTGCCCAGCACATGCAGGGAAGCCCTGGATTCAAACCCCAGTATCACAACAAAACAAAAATGACTGCCAAGCAAGGTGACACAAAGGACTTTTTCTCTTTTCTTTTTTTTACAGTACTGGGGAATGAACTGAAGGGTACTCTGACACTAAGATATATCCCATGCCTTTTTTATTTTTTCCTTTTGAAAAAGGGTCTCGATAAGTTGCCCAGGTAGGAACTCAAATTTCAGATCCTCCTGCCTCAGCCTCTTTAACTCTCCTGTATCTTAAAACTAAAGAGAACCTGACATGTTGGCATAGACCTAAAATTCCACCAATCAGGAGGCTGAGGTAAAGATCGTGAATTCAAGGATAGTGTGGCTCACAAAAAAACTAGCCAAGAGTGGTGGCACAGCCTATAATCCCAGCACTCTGGGAGGCTGAGGCAGGAGTGTGGAAAATTCAAACAGCCTGAATAATTTAGTAACTTAGGGAAACCCTGTCTCAAAAAATTAAAAAATGCCAGACATGGTGGTGCATGCCTGTAATCCCAGCACTCTGGACTCTCGGAGCCCTGAGACAGGAAGATCACAAGTATGAGCCCAGTCTGGGGAACATGACGACTTAGGGAGATCCTGTCTCAAAATTTAAAAAAAAAAAAGGCTAGGGATGTAGCTAAGTGTGGAGGCCCTGGGTTCAATCCCCAGTACCATGGGGTGTGTATATGTGTGTGTGTTATGGGTGGGTATGCACCTCACTGGTAAGCTGCTTGCCTAGCATGTAGGAGGTCCTGAGTCTAATCCCCAGCAGTGGAAAAACAATAACAACAATAAAAAACAAAGTAGAAAAGCATTTTGGAGAAAACTGAGGAAATCTGAACAGAGGCAAGTATTAGGCGGTACTATTAATATGGCGTTCAAGGGCCGGGAATTTAGCTCAGTGGCACCACGCCTGCCTCGCAAGGGCAAGATCCTGAGTTCGATTCCTGGTACCAATAAAAAAAAAAAGAAACATGGTGCTCATTTTCTCCATACCATCACTGTGGTTAGGTCAGAGAAATGTTCTTGTTCTCAGGAAATGATGCTCATGTGCAAAGTCTCATGGTATCTGCATCTATGTTCAAATGGTTAGCAGGAAAATAATATATAGGGGAGAGGGATGTAACTGTGAAGGAGGAACAGAAGGGAGACCTTTGTGGTGATGGAATAGCTCTGTATCGTGACTGCGGTTACCTGAGTCTATACATGTTATAAGATGCCACAGAACTGGGCTGGGGATGTAGCTCAGTGGAACCGTGCCTGCCTCACAAGCACAAGGTCCTGAGTTCGATCCCTGGTGTGTGTGCGGGGGGGTGTCACAGAACTATATATACACATTGTACCAATGTCAATTTCTGGGTTTTGATAATGTATTAGTTATATGAAATGCAACCACTGGCCAAAACCGGGTGAAGGGTATATGAGGCCTCTTTGTACTACTTGTGCAATTTCCTATGAATCTACAATTATTTCAAAAGTACAAGTCTTAAAAGTTTTCATATATTATAGGAAGACTGCGGACCTGTGCAAGAGCATAGATGTGGCAGCATGTTAACAGTGAAAACAGATGAAGGGTACCAAGTGTTCATGTCCTATTTTCTTTCAATTCTATAGATCCAAATACTTTGCAAAAATTAAGAAATTTTTACAAACTAGTGTCACCAAGCAAATAGTGGCACACTTGCCAAATGGGTATGGCAAAAACTAAGGGTAGAACTAGTGACAGATTAAAATGTGGAAAATACTAACAGAGTGCTCTTGTGTCAGGTGCTATCAGTACTACACATATTTCATTAAACCTCACACAACCCTGTGCCACAGGTCCTAACTCTTCCTGTATATAGATACCGGCTTGTTCAAGGTTACACAGTGAGGTAGTGGCGGAGCCAGGATTCAAATTCAAGCCCAGACCTCTTTCCACACCACCATTTTACTACCACCTACCTGCAAAGTTCTCTCCAAGAATATACAGTCCTACAATACTGCCAAGGCACAAGACAAACACTGGCTTGACACTCACTTTTGGTTGGTCAGATACCGATCCCAGCCACGAATAATATTGCCATACATCTGAGTGTCTTCTAGGTAGCTTCCTTCAAAAGCATAGATCTGTCTCTCCAAGTTTGCCAGTGTCTCCTAAGATGAGAAACAAAACATGGAAAAAGCTTTTTAAATGTAAACATTAAATATGAACAGATTGGAATCTTGGTATTAGACTTGTAAATCCACCCTCACCCACAATGAACCGTCTTTGGGGAAAAATGGATATGGAGAAGGCCAGGCTGTCCAGGCTTAAGACAGTCCTTTCGGGGATGATGGGCCCCTTTAAGAATACAATGGAATGTATGGAGCCTGTCCTCGGAAAAACGCACACGTGCAAAATTCTGCGTATACTTGAGAGAGAAGGGTGGGCGTTAAGAACCGGACTGGGGCAGAGCGTGGGCAGCCTCCACTCCCACTCACTAGGGTGTCAGCACCAGGAGAGGCAAGGGTGAACAACCTTCCAGCAACGCTCTCCCCTCCCCGTAGCCTCAGAAAGGCCGCGGCGCCCGGCTGCCGGTTGCCATGGAAACCCAGGGGGACGGGACAGCGCCAGGTGAGCCGGTCCTCCCCCGCGCGCAGGCCCTAGCGCAGGGCGGCGAGCGCTCAGCCTCCAGTGTGCCCGGGACCCCGCGTGCACGTCACAATTCCCAATTCCCCGCGATGATCCTCTCCCTTTCCCTGTCGCCAGATGTTCACAAACACCGCACACCCCAGCCCACTGAAAACCCCATCCGAAGGACGTACCCGCACCGAAACGGACTAGCGCCCTCATCCTCCGGAGGCCAGGCTGGGCGTCGGGGTTCCCCTCCCACAGACGCCTGCTGCACACCCAACA